GCTCAAACACTAACAAACTGACAAGATCTTTCGCTGTCTATAGCCGGGTACCCATTCCCACCTGGGTGAAGTGAGGAAAACTCGTGTAAAGTGCCTTTCCTAAGGACACAACGTCGGGTCCCTGACAGGATTCGAACCCACGACCTTACGGTTGCGAGTCCGAGAGACTAACCACTAGGCCACCGACTCTCATACAGTAGGTCCCGGTTCCAATCGGGATCATCATCATCATCATTGTAATGTCCATTACTATTAGGCAAACCACCTCTATAGCCTTAGTATTTAGGAAGACCTGGCAACTGTAACCACTGGCACGTATTTTAGAGAAGAGTGGTCACTACTAGTCAGTAATACAGAGTACGTCCACCGGTACAGTCGTGTCTGGCTCCGGTTGCTTTCATTGTCTGTCTAGATCTACATGTTGTGATTGTGATGTCCCGACGGTACAATCATCATCATCATCATCATCATCATCATCCAGTGCCAGATCTGCGACAGACATCGGCGATCATGGTTCTCCATTCATTCCTTTGCTCGAATGCTCTAAAAAAAGCTACGTTTCCCTGATCTTTCCCTGTTACCCATTTGTTTAGGTTCCCTATGTAGGTTGTTCTGGGCCTACCCCTGCCTCGTTTGCCCTACTGCTTCTCCTTGCGAATCGGGAGAGCGACGGACATTTTTCTTCTCTACAAATTTGAACTGTCTCCTTTCACCTCCATTCCTGCTCTCTAGCAATGTTCTGTCGTCTGCTTTCATCTCCACTTTCTGCCCCCACCCCCTCACCTCCTTTGCCCCCCTCCTCTGGGCTCCTGACTCTTTCTGCAGCCTTTCTACTGCTTCTCCTTGGCTCCTCCTTACTGCTGTCTTTCTGCCACATCCCTGATCTTCTGGTAGGAGAGATCTAAACCTAACCTAGTGGCGTCGGTGGTCTAGTGGTTAGGCTATCGGACTCGTAATCGTGAGATCGCGGGTTTGGGGGTTCGAGCCTCTGCTCGGTTCGACGTTGTGTCCATTGGAAAGACACTTTACACGAATTTCCCACTTGGCTCAGTCCTATCGGAGACGGACGTTACACAATGAGGCCCCGCTTGTTAAATAACCTAATAGTTTTGATAGGGGCGTTAAACCCATACCATTTCACCATTATGACACCTAGCCTTCTCGACCACACCCGTCTGTCTGACTCACCATTGCGAGAGCGGAGAGCGTGGCCCGGGTACTGTCCCTGGCCTGGACTGTGACGTGGTACAGGCTCTGTGTCTCTCTGTCCAGCCCGCCAGTGGTCGTGATGTTGCCCTGTGGGGTTTAGTTTTGTTTTAGTAGAGGTTTTACATCGCTCGTAGCTGCATAAGGTCATATGAGCGCCAAGGGGTGGGTGTCAACAGAGAAGTCCTTACAGGGAATCAGGCTTACTCTGCTCACCTTTCTAGCTTCAACAGCACAAAGTCTGCTTCGACTATCAAGGCACCCCGGAAATAGCAGGTCACAAGAGTGTGACAAACCTACAAAAGAAGTAGAAGAAAATGACGATAGTAAGGATGAGGGTGAGAGGTCAAATGGCCGCTTTTAAGGACAAGCGGGCTAACCCAGATCTCGGGAGTTTCCAGAAATCTTGACCTACACCAAAAGTGGGCATTGTTCTACCTATAGAAAAAGTTTGGTTTCATTGGTGTGTATATTTGTTTGGTTATAGAGAAAACTCTCCTTGTCTTTTAAAGAAACTGAACAATGGGCAAAAACTTTACCTTCCATTTTCTCGAAACAGCATTTTTCGGGATAGCCACGTTGTGCTTAAGAGCGACCAATTGTCTGTCTATTTAAAACACATTTGCTATTTCTGTCCATTTAAAAACACAACACAGCACACCACAACACACCACAACACAACACACCACAACACAACACAATACATCACACCACAACACAATACATCACACCACAACACAACACACCACAACACAACACACCACAACACAACACACCACACCACACCACAACACAACACAACACAGCACAGCACAGCACAGCACAGCACAGCACAACACAACACATCACAACACAACACAACACAGCACAGCACAGCACAGCACAACACAACACAATA